ATAGTGGGGACCAACCACCCTTATTTTGAATGTCTACCTATTTTAACAGTTTATAATAATAATAATAATAATAATAATAATAATAATAATAATAATAATAATAATAATAATAATAATCGGTGAAATAGAAATGTATTCCCCCACTCCTAGTCGCTGTGCACATTTCTCTTGTATTTGATGAAAAGAACTATTGTTTGGTTTAAAGAAAAATTTTAGTTCAGTAGTTTGCTACGTGACAGGGCTCGACAATAAGGACTGCCCGATGGCCCGGAGCCAGCGTGGGAGACACTCGGGACACTAGACAGGATCATTACTGGCCCGATCGGGCCCGATCGTGCTGCCTTGTCACTAAAGTTTCATTTAAGTTTGTCAATTGTGTGCAAATAGGGTGCTTTCACACCTAGACGTTTGTTTTGGAACCTGTCTCAGTTGCCCAGTTAGCACGGTTTATTGGGCTTATGAAAATTGCGCAATCATGCTTGAATCCACAATCAGTCCAAAATCGCTCGAATAAGGTGGTATTGGCCAGATTGAAATTAACTCTGAAGGGAATCAATTGTACTGAGAAAGTAAAATGGCACAACGAACTAATGATGGGATGTGGTGGGGTGGTGTATCATTCCAACTGGCAAATGTGCGTTTCATGTCAAAAACAAAAGTGAAAGCATGCTGAAATATTACCCAGTGCTGTTTATTCTGTTACCATCTGCTCATTGTCTATTAAATTTTTATCTTAAAACTTTGTGTATTATTGTTTTTTAAATTTCTTCACTCACACCTCAAAAGAAAGATCAATATTGATCTGCTTTATGATCTGACTACAGTCTCGGTTCATCTGTTTTGTCTCTCTATAATTCAAGCCATGGCTATAATGCATAATTCTAGCCAACACTTTTTTATTAAATTGATTGATTCATTAGATAGATTTTTACAACCCTTGACAACTGAAACGTGGCTATGTATGAGAAATTCTTTCCTTTCTGATTTATATTTATTGACAAAGTCTGTGGGTGAAAAAATTAGAGTGCAGTTAAAGTTAAAGTTTTTTTTTTTTTCAAATTGATTTACATCACAGTTATAATCTTTTAAATTGTCAGTTGTATTTAAAGAAAAGTTATGTCGAATGTAAACAGTTATGTTTGGCTTATGACACAGTATTAAAAATATGAGGCTAGGAAATAGCTATTGACTTCTTTTTTTGTTGATGGGGTCAGTGAAAATTTTCGCAGGACAAGTAAAAATCTGAACCAGTAGAAAAAATCCTTAGCGTTGAACCCTGGGTGATCTGCGGATATGTACAAAACGGACGTGTATCTGAAAAGTACAACAAAACACACCTTAAATAACATTTTGATTTGCAAAAATGTGGATAGTGCCCTCTAGTGAATTTGTCATTTGAAATATGCAACAAACGTACATGGAGCAACACATTTTATGCGTTGCAGAAAGGTAGGCCGTGGAACGTATTTCCAATGAGCCTATAGGCAGATTACGGTAGCTGTACGGTGTCCTTAATGCTTATGTGTGTGTATGAGCATTGTCTTCGGCAGTGTGTGTGTGTGTGTGTGTGTGTGTATGTGTGTATGTGTGTATGTGTGTATGTGTGTGTATGAGCATTGTCTTCGGCAGTGTGTGTGTGTGTGTTTTTGTTTGTGTTTTATAGAGGGTTTGTGGTGTGTTCTGTATAGGTCATTAATAGATGTCGTGTTTAATGGGTTCAGGAAACCAATGCAACACATCAGGCCTTTCCTCATTAATCCTGTCTCTCTCTCCCACCATCCCTCCAGCTCTATCTACTATACTCCACATTAGGCTGCAGGTCTAGTCCTAATTATGGACTCTAAACTCTCTCTCCGGTCCTGACAGTGTAATTCATTTTCACCTAAGCAGGACGCACATTTTCGATGGTGGGCAGGGATATCATTACAGCACTAGACTGTTATAAGAGCTCTAAATGAAAGTGAGATGACTTTAATACGGTGTAAGTGTGAAAATGTGATTTTAAGGATACAGTTAAGATATTAGAATGTGTTGTTGTTAAGGAACTTGTAAGTGTAAGGAAGTTCATGATCGACAGGGAAAAGAACTGACTGTTAAGTTTTTTTTCAGCTGAAATAACATTAACCCCATAATGTTGGGGTTGATGCTGCTCTAGAGACAAATGGGTTTTTTTCCCTTCTTTTTTTTCTTTTTTTTTTTATATTTTGTCATCTGGTTATTTTTGTCATTGTAGGTGATCTGAGTGGTTACTTGTTTAGCCAATTCAAGAGTTCCCATCACACTCAAACCTGTGACAACATGTTGATTATTAATTGCTTTACAGTAAAGGTTTCATCAACGTACAGTACACTACTGTTCTTTGCTTTAATTCATCATAGATGCCTTCCAACTTTTGGAATCTGTTTGACAAGAAATATTAGTGTCCACAGTAATATCGGAGTGATATAAACACAACAAATCTTTTTTTTTTATTATTTCTTGATGTTAAAATAGGATCCAAATCACAAATTTGAGGCCCCCCGCTGTGTGCTCAGCGCTTGCTTGCTCACTCGGGAGCGATATTGTGAGACTGCCCACTCCTGTTAAAATTACACCAGAGTTACCGACCACTCACGCAGTGAAATTGTGCACAGTTTCTGCGTTCTGCGTAGTTGTCTCCTGGAGTGTTGTAAATACCTGCGCTCACCTCCCTCGTGACAAGGCGCAAATGAGATAAATAACGTCAGTACATAATAACGGTTATGATTATTACTGAACCGATACCGAATTGTCCACGTCTGCATCACGGTGCACAGAAGAAACTATTAATTTTGACACCCCTAATAAATATGTCTACAAGACAGGATTTGCTAAGAAACTGGGATTAAAAGATCTGTTACCACTAGGGCAGAACAATATATCGATATTACAATGTGTGTATCTGGAATAGTCACATCCCATAAGATAATATATTAAAAATTAAACATATATATATATATATATATATATATATATATATATATATATATATATATATATATATATATATATATATATATATTAGGGATGTAACGGTATTGTAAATACCGTCATACCGCAATATTAAATTTTTTCGATATTACCGAAGTCGCATGACTCGGTAAAACTATAGATCTTCAGAGAAAATTTGCTCAGGCGAATGAAGCGAACGGGAGGTAGCTGAAACTTCATTTCCCATCAGCCCCGGCGTGGCCATAATCCTTTGCGGTCTGTTGTCGCTACAGATCCAGTAATGCGGAAATGGAGTGTGCTGCTAGTAGCGGAGATGAAAAAAAGATGGAAATGATCGAACCTAAAGCGGGTGTTGTCGCCGCGCGCGTGCTGAATAGCGGTGCTGTCGCGCGCGTTCTGATCAGCTGTGTTGTGGCGCGCGTATTGTAAAGCGCCGAGGGGGGGGGGTTGAGCGCGCATACCAAGAGAGGTGTTGTCGCGTGCCTACTGAAGGGCTGGACTGGACGGAGGTTGTGTCGCGTCGCGGGGGCACTTTTGATCGTTTTGGAAGGGCATTTTCTATCCAAGACTAAAAAGGGCATGTGCACTGCACAGGTTGAGCCCTATGTGTGCACGTGCCTGCAAGTTGGGGAATACGACTAATAACAGTCATGGGGACTGCAGAAACACAGCACTGTTCAGATTGATGCAGACATTGACTTGTACCGCAAAGAGACCTCTATCTCACTCATGGTTTGTCTTCTCAAGTGGGGGAAAGACAATGCACAACGTTACCCCACTGCTGTCAACATGGGCCAAGTCATATCTCTCTTGTCCCAGAAACCTCAGTCCCAAATGAGAGGGTTTTTTTCTGTTGCAGGGGACATTGTAAATACCCAGAGATACCAGCTTTTACCAGATTATAATTATATGATAATTTTTCTTTAAACCCATCTCTATCTAAGTGAGTGATTAAATGTTGAATGTGATGAGTTTTCAACAATACTAAATTGAAACTTTATTTTTTTACATGGTTTAATAATTTTTTGTTATTAAAATTGAAGTTCCTGTTTCAAAGCTAACAGATAGATGGCTAATTTGTATGTCATTGACACTTTTGGCACTTTTTTGGAGTATTTTCAAAAGTTTTTTTTTTCCTGTAAATGATTCAATAAATACCGTACCGTGACATTCATACCGAGGTATTACCGAACCGTGAAATTCTGATACCGTTACATCCCTAATATATATATATATATATATATATATATATATATATATATATATATATATATATATATATATATAATGTGACCATGTTATTTTACATTTGATTGTTCAATTTTTGTACATGGATATTGGTATATTTCCCAGAAAACCATATAGTACTTTATTTATTTTTTTATTGCTTGTAATTTATTGTAATTTATGCATATCCACTGCAAAGAAATTGTCCCAGTTGATCTAAATTAAATGAAATGTTTCCAAATAGAGCTATTCAAATCGTCAGGTGAAATAATATTCATATTGCAGTATATATTGTGGCAAAAGAAAATATTGCAATGTCAGTTTTTTTCCAATATAGTGCAACCGTAGTTCAAACTCTCTGTGATCCAACTGCTCTTCAAGAAGCAGTAAGTGGTACTGTTTGTATTTTTTTTTATTTTTATAGAATTTTGAAATACTTTTTAAGCGACATAAACTACCGCTTCATAAAGTAACTATGAACAAGGATGCTTCAATCACACAGCAGGAATCCCAATAATTCAGGTTTATTTTGTACATTAACATAGCTATAATATAAATATATAATATAAGTAATATAGCTACACAGCAGCATGCGACCCATTTGGTGGGCATCCTGTCACATTTGCTGCGAGTAGATGACACTGTGCATGTGTGTGTTTGTTTGTGTTTATGTGCATGTGCATTGCAACATTTGTGTGTGGCTGATTTATCATTGTAACATTTGTGTATGGCTCTTTTATGTTACTGAGGTCTTTGTGATGGGTCTCAGTTTCATCTAGTCATCATTTCATCGAGTTGCTTTGTCATTTTTGCTTTGTTTATTCTGACATTTGAAACTAGTTGTCCATCTCTTGAGTGAAATGTCCCGTTAGTGGCTGGGGAATAGCTACTTTGAATGGGCAAGGGGAACCAGCTCATTTTTATTTAAAGGCACAGGTTCCAAAACAGATGCAATTCACTCTGACCCCAAAATTGACATTTTCAGCAGGGTGTAATAAATCATCTAATGGGTATTTTGACCTGAAACTTCAGCGACATTGTCTGGAGATGCAAAGTTCTTAATTGGAGTCTTTCAAACAATATTTAAGGCTACAACAATATTTATGTTTCAAATGAATGCTGTTACATTGAGCTTTCTAGTTAAAGGGAAAATGTAAATATATGCTGCTTAATAATTTTGTGGTAACAGAAAATTATTCAATTTTTAATGTTGATATTAAGAATTATATATCATTATTTATATTATCATTACTACTACTATTTTTTATTTATTTATTTTTATTATTATTTGCATGTGGGATGCAGCTTAACTATACAAATGTTTAGTAATCACACATGAAAGGCACAGACATATGGTGAGCTGATTGCAGCTTTTTGCATGCATTGATTCCATATGTGCCACTTCATAAGATGGTGACAATTTAGTCTTTACGTGACTGCTTGGATATCTGGAATGGTTGCAGGCACTAAGACAAAGGGATTGAGCAATTTCAGTGATGCTAGAGCTCCTACGTTGTTGCAAAGAGCAAAATGTGTTAATATTTGTCAAGATGACACTGTTAAAATCAATCATTTTGCATGAATGTTATAGATTTTTCTTCCATGTTGGCTTAAATGTTCTCCATACTTTTATCCTTGAAAATATCCACCTAATGTAGGAGGTCTGAAAGTGGGCGGGTTTGTAAATACATTGCGTAGATGGAGAAGTGAAGGAGCTCTCTCTCTCTCTCTCTCTCTCTCTCTCTCTCTCTCTCTCTCTCTCTCTCTCTCTCTCTCTCTCTGTGTAACTGAGCTCCTCCCAATATCTTGGTGCTGCTATTTCATCTTATTTACATATTAACTGTTTGTTTTCCATGATGTGGTGGGGGTTTGTGCTATACATCTAGTCTAGAGCACATGCATATTTCTTTTCTTCCTCCATACAGTACGTAAAAAGACTCTATTTTATTCACTTTCTCATATTTATATGGTCCTCATCTACTCTTTTGAATGAATATTAGTAAGTACAAATTGCTCAGAAAAATTGACCAACGTACACTAATTTTATTTTTAATAGACTAAAGCTTTGAAATGGCACTAGTTTAACTTAACATTTTTAAACAATTTAATCCTACATTTTCATAGCCCTATTGTTTATTTAGTTGTTTGGTTCTTTTTTTTATTTAGCTGCTTTTAAATAAACATAATAGTTGTTTTTTGAGGTCTTAATTTGTATTTCCACCAGTCCAAACTTCAAGGCCTTGTTATCTCTCTCGCTCTCTATCGAGAGAGTTTTGTTATCTCACTATGTCACACAAAGCCTGTTTTCTAAAGTGCAAAACGTTTTATTGTGCCTAGTATACAGACAGAATTGAAAAGCACTTGCACACTATGTGCCACCTAGTGAAAATGATAGATTTTAGACGACTTTCAGGACTCTTGTTCAACCTTGCATTCATTTGACCTTGTAGAAGTTGAGCTTACTTCAGTCTCAAGGCTCGGTCTATAGCCACAGCTAATCTGTGTGCTGCTCTGTAAGATTCTTACCCAAAGCTGACCCAGTTTTCTGAGTGATTTCAGACCGCTGATACAGTCCTGGTGGTTCCATACCTGCTATATTTCTTTTCATATTAAATGTTCCTCATTTCAAGTCAGTTATTTTTTATGTTACAGCTCTACTCTTGCTTTCATTTGTGTTTTGTATGTATCTGTGGTCACAAGTTTTTTCGCAACGCACGAGCACAGTTGCACACGACCAGTGTCACGCTTTGGGAAAGAGAGGGCATGACCTCATTTCTCTTTGAGTCTCTATTGTCACTTCCTGTGAATCGATCTAGCAGCACATGAACTTATGCCACCTGCTCTCACGCGTGTGTGTGCATGTGTTTGTAATTGTGATTTGTTATACTTGACTGATCAGTTTTGACACAGATTAGCTGCTGAAAACATCTCCAGGTGTACTCATTCCTTCGAACACTTGCTGCTGTTCATATTGTGCTCAGCAAGTATTGAAATTCAGTATTTTTGGGGTTAAGTTCTGAAAGTTAATGTAATAACAACTAGCACCCTCTGCTGGACCTCCTGTTTCACAATGAGCTAAAGAGAGAGAGAGAGTGAGAGAGAGTGAGTGAGCAAGGGAGAGAGAGAGAGAAAAACGAGTCCGGATTTTAACGACATCTCTAATATTCATGCTGATGCGTTTTGCTGCTTTGTGCTTTCATTTCTTGCCGCTTCGTCTGTGTCTCCTGCTCGCCGCATACAGCCCAGCCTGAGAGAGGGGAGGGGAACGAGGGAAAAGGAAGGGAAAAAAAACAAGTGGAAATAAGGAAAACAAGCTACAGAGCGTCCAACTGAGCCAGTACAAAAAACCTTTTGTGTTAGCAATCCTACCTTCGCCTGGGATGTGAAAGGAGGAAGAGGAACGAGAAGTCTTGTCGGTCTGTGAGTGTGCGTTTGTCTACAGGAGAGCGAGGACAAGAGAACGACGGCCGGGAGAGATCGAGTGTAGTTGTGCTCGGACGGACGGACGGTCGCTCGGACGGAGAGAATCGATGAGAGAGGGAGAGAGGGAGGGAAAAGAATAGACTGAGCCCAGCTGAGCGCAGCAGAATGAGAGAATCCTGGAGCAGCGTGGCTGCTTTATCTGTCTCTTCCTCATTCCCTCGTTTTCCGTGAAGTGCGGCTCCATGCAGCCCAGCCAGGGGAGGAGGAGGAGGTGAACAGGGCTTCTTCAGCCACGGACCTGCCGGGGGAGGGAGGGAGAGAGGGAAAGTGATCGAGCAAGAGAGAGAGAGAGAGAGAGAGAAGGGAGGAGGGAGTGTGCAAGAGAGAGAGAGAGAAAAAAAACGGCGAAAGGGCAAGGCTTTTGTTGGCGGTTGGAGAGAGAGAAGAGGGGGGAAAGAAGAAAAGAAAAAACATGTCTACGGTGAAGAGGCCGAGAGGACGGGTGAGTGAGTGAGTGAGCGAGTGCGCGCACGCGTGTGTGTGTGTGTGTTTGGGGGGTGGAGAGAGGTGGAGGAGGAGGGAATGATGGGGGAGGGGGCCGGCAGGAACTGAGCAGCTACAGGCTCATGCGGCAGGCTACACAATCGCCGCCATCTTGTGCTAACCACTTCTCTCCATTTTTTATTCTCTAGCTTGCATGCTAACGAGGAATGCTATATAAGCTAGCTTTTGCCGCTATGTCTGCTCCTCTTCCTGTTTCGCTTTTCATCTCCTTTCACCGAGGTGCCTTGGGAAGTGGCACATGTGCGCATCAGGCATTGTGTGGCAGCGCCGCATGGACATCTCAGTTTCAGTCTAGTTTCATTAAACACAAAGACATTGATGACTTGAGCGGGGAAAGGGAGAAGGAAATCGCCGTGGTGCTGGCAGCCTGTAATTTCAGTTATTTATAGATGTGTTACATAGCTGCATTGCTCACGGCTTGCTGCATTTCCCCCTCGCTCTCTTTCTCTCACTCACGTCATATTCTCTCTATTACTCATTTTCTCACATACGCTCTCCCGCCTTCCCCCTATAGCTGTTCTCCTTGTCTCCATTCCTGCTGATTTACCCCTTCATGCCTCCACTGGATTAGTGTGAATATTTCGGGAGCGCTCAATCCCTCTCGCTTGGCTGTTCGGCTCATGTTTAACCACCAAACGAGTTAGTGTTTATAACCCTCCCCCACGCTCTTTTCTTTTGTTTCACTCTTTCCAGATAATTCCCTTTATTTGGCTGTCAGAAAAACGCAGGCCGGCTGATCCGATTTTATGTTGCTCTCTTTTTTTTCTTTAACAAAGCTTTATTGGCATGACTGTAACATCGCTCCGGCCATGTGTCATGTTTATAAAGAGCGAGTGTGCAAAGTAAAACCTAATAAAGTAAAAGATAAGATCTCATTCTCTTGCTTTATGGAGTCCAAACTCATTTTGTCTGCTTTCCAAGTGAGAAAGAGAGGAAGAAATTGAGGAAAAAAGGGATGTCAGCAAAATGAGCATGAATAATAAAAGTTGGCATGTCTCAGCCTGCTATATGATCATGCTGTGAATTATACATGGCGGTCTTATTATTTCATGGGGTGAGGGGTGGATAATGTGAATAGACTGGCTCTCAGGTTAAAGATTTTGACTTGTGACCTTTGATCAGTGTGCGATGTTGTTGTGATGAACTGTGACTTATTAACGTCTCTATACCATATTATATCTGTATTGTTTTTTGAGGCATACACTGGTTGAAAATTGCAAATGTGTTTGTGTGTGTGTGCGTGCCCCAGTGGTTTGCCTGTGCGTTCGACCAAATATTTCCTTTATCTTTCCCTATAGCTGGTTGGCCAAATGATTGCAGAGCAGTGAATATTATGAAACCCAGGCATTAGGAACATTGATGATGCAGCAGTTCAAAGATGGAGGATTTCCCATGTTGTCATCCAGTATGTGTGGGTGGACTCAGGCTTACCATGCTGCACTGCTTCAGCTACAATCAGATGGGATCCCCAAGGATTTTTATCTTTGGACCTCCTCTTGCTTTTAGTTTGCTGGCGAGGTCATGAAAAAAACGGTGTGCTTATTAAATTCTCAACAAGTATTGAGCTGGGTAAAGAACGGCCCCAAACTCTTGAACCGAATTTGAGTTGTAAGCACATCAAGTGCTTCTACTATCTGACAGGTCTCACTGAAACGAGTGTTGTGAGAAATCGCACCTGTCTCTGTAAGAGCTCTGCAAAAAATAATCCAGGGGAGTCAGACCTGCTTCAGCCATCACCAAATTACAAAATCCATTGCCACCCCAACCCCCACACATTTCTAAAATAACTTTGTATGTGAAATTGGTAAAATAATATAAAGATCCATTTGGATTGACCCAACAGGTAGTCCTTAGTTTACTAACACTATCCTTGGCCCATTTATTTTATTAAACAATAAAAGCAGCAATAATTAAACTTAAACTTATTAACTTTGTACAGTGGTTTTACAAGTTTCTGTTTAGTGCATTCAGTTATCTGGGTAAACTTAAGGGGGGAGAGGGGTAACTCGGTTCGTTTCAACAGTATCGTGGTTTGTACTGTAGGGTGCGTATTTTGTTATTTTTGGTTCAGTTTGAATATTGTTGCATCTCTAATCTGCATGAAATGGAAATTTGCCTTCTCTTTTTATTAATTGCATATCATTGATCGTATTGTGAGCAATTCATACATGCAAATTTACAACCCCAAATCTGAAAAAGGTGGGACAGCATGAAAAATGCAAATGATAAACACGTGGTTCAATTTTGGTTCTTGCAACACATAAAAGCAAAAAATTGAAATAGTAAAGCATTCACCACTTTGTAATGTTGCCATTCATTTACACAAGACCTGAATGGCATTTTGGGATGAGGGACCAGTAATGAAGTGTTTTAGGTGTTATTTTGTCCCATCCTTCCTTCAAACAAGTCTTAAGGTGGGCAACAGTACGAGGTCTTCATTTTCTCATTTTGCGCTTCAAAATATGCCACATATTCTCTATTGGAGGGCGTCATGGTGGCGATCGCCTCACAGCAAAAAGGTCCCTGGTTCGAGCCCCGGCTGGGTTAGTTGGCATCTCTATATGGAGTTTGCATGTTCTTCCCGTGTTCATAGGTTTAAAGACATGCGCTATAGGTGAATTGGGTAAGCTAAGTTGTCCGTAGTGTATGTGTATGAATGGAAGTGTATTGGTGTTTCCCAGTGATGGGTTGCAGCTGGAAGGGCAACCGCTGTGAAAAAAATATGCTGGATGAGTTGGTGGTTCAATCCGCTATGGCGACCCCAGATTAATAATGGGGCTAAGCCAAAAAGAAAATGAATGAATGAATAATTGAATGACTGTCTATTGGAGACAGGTTTGGATTGCTGGCAGGCCAGTCAAGCACATGTATCCTCTTCTTCTGCAGTCAGGACTTTGTAATGTGTGCAGAATGTGGTTTTGCATTGTCTTGTTGAAATAAACATAGGCATCCATGGAAAAGAAGGCAGCATATTGTGCTCCAAAATCTTTCTTTACTTTTCAGCATTAATAGTGCCATCAAGTGCAATTTATTTTTGCCAAAGGCAATGACACAACTGTATACCATGACAGACCCTGGCTTTTAGACTTGTTGCTGGTAACAGTCTGGGTGATCCTTTCTTCTTTGGTCCAGAGCACACAGCATCCATTTCTCCCGCCAAAAATACCTGAAATACTGATTCATCTAAGCACACTGTGTAATGGTCCATCCTAGATGCCTCCAAGTCCAGTGAAGTCAACGATACTTCTGGACACTGTTAATATAGGACTTTTTTTGGCATAGTACAGTTTTAACTGGGATTTGTGGATGTAATTAAGTATTGAAGTACTTGACAAAGGTTTGTCAAAGTAGTCCTGAGCCATGTGGTGATATCGGTTATAGATAAATGACATTTCTTAATGCAGTGCCATCTGAGGGATTAGAGATCACGGTAGTTCAGCTTAGGCTTGCACTGTTGCTCTTTACGCATGAAATTCCTCCAGATTCCGTGAATCTTTTAATAATGTTATGCACTGGTGAAGGTGAAATATGCAAATGTCCTCCTATCTTTCTTTGAGGAATATTGTTTTTAAACATTGAATAATTTTTTCATGTATTCGTTGGCCAACTGGTGATCATCAGCCCATTTTTGCTCATAAAGAACTAGACATTTCCTGGATGCTGCTTTTGTACCAAATCAGAAATACAATCACCTGTTGACATCACCCGTTTTAAAGCACATCATTGTTTTATCAATTTATCTGATTACTAGCCCTGTATTGCTCCTGCCCCAATTTTTTTGGAATGTGAAGCAGCTCTGATTGACAGGAAAGGATGTGTATTAATGAAATAAAGTTGACCGGACAAAGCATGAAATATATATATTTTTTTTTTATTGTCTTCAGTGAAATAGAAGTTAAAGTAAATTTAAATAATAAAAAAAAAATTACTTGTGTTTTCCATACTGTCACAACTTTTGCTAATTTAGGGTTGTATTTTAGACTTTTTTTAAAGTCCTGAATTTGAATCCGGACCCCTATTACAATTTATATATTAATCCCTTTATTGTAGCTAGCAAAAAGTTCACATTTTTATTGTTCCTGCAAACAACTGATGGACAAAGCCAAGTCTCTTTTTTCAATAGTCTGTTTTACTGAGGTGGGATTTGTATCCTTTTCCTTGTGTTCTATTTTTCATGAACTTTTTTAAAAGTTTATTTATGTTAGCAACAAAATGCTAAATGTTTTTTTATATCAGGCAAAAATAACTTACTTGGCTTTGCCTTCCCAATGCACATTATAAATGAACCACTGTATAAATAAAATGATATGCTGTGTGTGTCCAACTATCAGCATTTGGCTGGTGACATCTGTTAATTTTATGTCCTTCCTGTGAATGACTTTGCACATAGAGGTTTGCTGTCATTTGTTTGGAGGTCTGGGATTTGCAGAGAGTTTCTTAGCTTGGAAAACATCTTAAATCGCCTGCATAACCTTTAATCGTATGTTACAGTTCCACTGTACTGACTTTGTCCTCTTAATA